CAATTACCGAACCTGTGACCTTCAACCTGTATCAAGCATAACTTTGAGACAGTGATTTAGCATGTAGTAAATCTGAAGAACTGAAAAAAAAACTTGATTTTATATTGGTTTTAAGGAGGCAAAAGCTTTTTTCTTTTTATTGACTTATTAAATTATTGGTCTAAAATCAAAAATAAAAGAAATAAATAAATATTTCAGAATATCTGCAGCCAGAAGTATTACTTGTTGCTTATTCATATTAATTATACAGGTTCGAATCCTGGCAGCTGATGGCGATAGAAACCGTTTTTGTTGGACGTTGTCGTGTTTTAAAAAAAATATTATTCGTCAATTTATCGGTTTAACTCACTTGAGGACAGATTAGCACTAAAAAATAAAAATGACGATTAAGCTGACTACAAGTTTCATTTACACAATTATGTTTCATGTCACAGTTTTGAATTTACTTCTTTAAGCATTTATGTATCATCATGTATTTTTGGTGAGCGAAAATCTAAATCTAAATGTATATAAATTTGTGTATTGTATATGTATCTATATATGTATGTATACAAGTGTGCATTTTTAAACGAAAGCGTCTTTAACCTTATTTCGTTTAAACGTCGTAAAGGATTAAGTAATGGGGCGTTATTAGCGAGCGCGTTTGTACCGACAAATGGTCGCGTAATGAATTTAGTCGGGCGACAAACGGTACGCGGGTGCGCTCGGTAAGGACCTTAAATTAGATACTCAAATTTAATTTTCCATTGTCGCTACTTAGTTTTTAGTAGATGGACCCTGATCGCATGATTCATATGCCTACTCTAAGTTTTATTATGTTTTATGTTTTATGTTAGTATTCTATAAAAATACATATTTGATATGAACAAAACCTAGCATGCAATATGTCAAAATGTATGTATTATTTATGTTATTAGTTATTGGTGTAAGATGACCCGATGGCGCAGTTAAGCCATCGCCCACGGCGCCGGGGGTCGTGAGTTCGATTCCCACACGGGACAAGTATTTGTGAAGACAATAAAGAACACTTATTGGTGCTATTAACTTACTACCAGAAATTTTATGAAATTTAAAAAGTTGACTAGCCCACGAGTTCTGCGTTCATTGAAGCTTTAATAGTCTACGCATTAAAATCAATAACATCACTTAAAAAAAGTAAACCTGAGAGAATTAAGTACTCTTTGTTCATTTTTTGGTTAGGACGGAAAAAGAAATGAAAGTAAATACACAAAATCCAATAATCAAAGAGTGGTAAAGGCCAATGCTGTTTAATAATATAGATGACAGATGACCATACTGCGTGGCGTTTATAAGTTGTTCCGCTTTACATAATATGACATATGTATATAAGTTAATATAACAGATAATATAGAACGTATGATACGGAAAGAGATGGCAGTGTATATATAGAATTTCAATCTAATTACACCAATTGGTGTAATTTAAGTGCCTCAATTTCGGTGCACGGGTCATATCTACCTCTTATTTGTATATTTAATATCATTGGGTAAACGCCTTTACTTGTATATTATTGGATCAAATCCAACGTCAATACTGCGATACGCAATTTCGTAACCGAAGCGCGAGTGAAACGGCCCGATATAAATCTATTTGTCATATTAATGTGGGCAATTAAAGGCATGCGGGCCGCGGCAAGGGTTGCCGCGAAACGGTCGCGGGTTCGTTACCCGCGCGGCGTTATGCCGTTTTAATTGACGCGCTTAATTACCTCTCCACATCGCTGTTATCATGAATGATCGGAAGTGTCGTGAGTTTTGGTGGTGTTATTTTTCCGTGGACTAAGTGAATTTTACGATGCTGAATAGGTTACTTTAACTTAGCACCGTAGCGCTTGAGTTCTGAAGCGGAGGAAATATGAAAAACCTCCTTTCAATGGAATAATAATGGCCAAATCTTGTAACAACATTAATACGCGTAAATGAATAGTAAATTTTGTTTAACGAATGAAGTTTAAATTGCAAGTACTTTCCTAATAGTACTTGCAAAAATTTCCTAATAGTACTTAAAAATTAAACTGATTACATTACATACATTTTAAATAAATACACATATCTATAATATAATCTATATAATTTTTTACTTAATCATAATGTGTCAATTCGTCGTCTTATTTACCTTGTGTAAATAATATCGAAAATAGTAGTTTACATTTTCACATCCAAAGAGGAAGAGAGTCTAAATATACAGCATATACAAAGACAAGTAGGGATTGGAAGTGCGATAACTCGCAGGCGCTATAAGCCGGGCTTGCTGCAGATCGCATTAGCGGCACTTCCGGTCAGCCCGGATGTGCCGCCATGTTGTTTAGATCGTGCGATGTTTCTCCGATTTCAATTGCTTTTCTCCCCAACCGCTTTCTTACTTTAACCGTTTAGTGATTTTGTCTCAGAGCGCAATGAATTTAGAGTTTTTTTTTTATATGATACACATGACCATGATTAACTTTGACCATTTTAACAAATTTTATCGATGTTGATTGTCAATTTAAATCCCAGATGTTTTAATACCTCGCAGCATTCACAATCAAATAATGAATTGAAGTGTTAAGTTTCTGACGCCTCGGCTTTTAATAATATTGTGTAAGTAATCCCATGCAAAAACTTTTCGCTACCAAGAACCGATCAGACAGTATCTTGTTAATTAACAATAAGATTTAAGGGATTACGACATTAGAAGTGAAGTTCGTAAAGTTGTTTGCTCGGATGGAACGAATTTAACCAAACGGAGTCTTAGTTAACGAATTCCTTACTAATTTGTTTTTGACCGATAAATTTACATAATATTCATAAGAAAAGTTTAGATATCTCCTAATTTCTTAGAGGCTTAAAATATGTTTTTGAAAAACAAATTTTATATATTCATACGGATTTTGTATAAGCTCTCAAGTGAGTAAGAAAATTGAGGGTACTTTTCAAAAAACTTATTAAAATCAAATGTTCGAGGTGTATGGTGTTTGTACATGTGTGATCTAGACGAGTAGCTCAACTGTTCTTCTTCTCCTGTAGTTGTAGCTAGTAAAAAAATTCACGTACAAATAAGTGTGGACACGGTTACTCTAATTCAATTCTTATCACCTATTTGTTCGATATACCTTCGTCACACTCTAACAAATTTGCCGAATAACATACTCATGCACCATAAATATTCTCCACTCTGCCTTCATTCACTACCAGAAGTCAAAACCATCACAACGTGCCCTTTTCATCTCCTACAAAACACCCTATCAAGTAGCAACCTTTAAAAATCTGGACGGTAAATTGCAAAGGAGAAAGAACGTGACATAAAAATCTCTATCGTCAAATCCTGACGGCTAATTGTAATCGATTCAAACGGCCTGAACAATTACCGTACAACTGGCACTGCGATACTTTAGACAGACTGACGCACAATCATCGCTTGTTTGCCCTACATTCTTCCTTAACTTATGAGTGATAGCACCCAATCATTGGCAATCATTTTCAGTTACAATTGTACACTGAGTGCTTTTTAGTTGATGTGCAAATAATATACTAATTAAGAGATATATTCTCTCTTTCTTTACAATCAGGCACCATATATTTTTTTCTGGAACCCTACAGACTTCTTATATCTTTGAAAATATTTGATATTATATAAGACGAGAGTAAAATTATAACATTACATTATTTATAATTGCAATTATAATTGCAACATTGCGGTAGTAAGAATGAAAGGCTTCTTATATCGTTTTAAATGATGCATTTTGTAACTATTCCATTTATGGAAATAACTTTTATAAAACGAGACATTTTGTATGATGGTTTTAAAATATTAAGATAAAATATTACGTAACGTTTACTTCAATTAGCATTCTAGATTAAAGTTCAAAATTTCAAAACTATGTGCGTTCTCCTACTTTATCATTTTTATTTTAAAAAAACAGGACCGCTACGTATAGACAGCAGAAAAATGGCAGGCGTGTTGCCAACCTCTAAGTTTGTGGGCCTTCGATAAGATCACCAAACAAAATGCGATAGTATACAGTACATATGTTCAATGTTTCAGAAGGAGCTGTTATGCTGTAGTAAGTAATACAGCTTGTATTACTTACTACAGCAAATATGATCTAATACTAGATTTAACATTAATTTTGAAATATTTATGGTATGTTTGCGTTTGTATCTCAATCAATATACCTTTTGAAAAAATACGTAATTGCTTGCTAAACATGTAATGTATGCTTTAATTGTAAATATTATTAAAAGAAATGATAGAAATTATTTTGTTCTTTATTTTCAATTTTTGTTCTTTAATTATTTTCAACGCCAAAAAGCACAGCATTTATGCTGTTAAAACGGAAACTAATAGCCTTTAACACTTAATGTCTAGCTCAGTTAAGGATAGTAAGCAAGAATCTCTAAAACAAACTATGCACTCGGACTTTTCAATTAGCAAAGTCGCTGAAGGCCCGAACGGGATTCCGGCTAATTCCCGCTCTCGCGTGCCCGTCCTCCATATAACCCAGTCGTACACTCGTAGCGCAATATAATTACAGTTCATTAGAGTAACTCGGGATCGGGTAGTCGTTAATTAAGTAATTGCCAGCTTCTCTCATATCCATTCGGCCGGGGCGTATATGACGGCATGGGTTAAGAATCGCCGATGATTCAACTTTCAGCTGGGATGAATGATGTAGGTTTTCTCTTAGACAGAAGCAACAATATAATTTATAAGGGACTTGTTATTGTCGCAAATTGACGCAGTATTAATTCATAGTCCTGCTGTAGCAACTTGATTCTTGTACTAGTATTAAAAGCAAAAGACTTAACTGGACACGTCAACTTAATAATTTAGTGATGATAATTTTAACTGAAACTCACGCCTTATTATAATACCATGATTTTGAACACTTTAAGCAACTAACAGTTTGTTTATTACACTAATTAATAGAACTCTTTACATATTCGTCGTCTTTAATCGTTGACTGTATGCCAAAGTACGCTAGTGTAAAAAAAACTTACTGCTCGAAGGGCGAGAAAATATGATGCTGAGGGCGAGGGTCTGGCATAGCATCACGGGATCCCACGCTGCCCACAGATGGCGCTGGTGAAGAACAGCCCGCCTCGGACCTGATAATCACGAAGTTAATTTACCGCCAAATAATCCCTCAGTCAAAAATCCGGTCTGCAAAGACAGTTAATCTGTTATAAGGTACGTGATCATCGCAGTAAATAGGAAGCTATCGCTAAACACTGTTTATACTACTGGTTAAAAATTTTAAAAGCAAAATGCTTTGTATGTAAACATAAGACTCCTTAATCGACCGCTACTAAACAAGACCTCGCAACAGTTTCTGCTGTTGCAAGAACTGCCATGCTCGTCCGCGGAGGTACCACGGCCTCAAAGGAGACCGGAATGAAGTGGAATTAATAATTATTAGGAATCATTAATAGGGACGAACGTTTTTGAAGGTTAGCGCATCAGCGAGCCTTCGGTCGTTGTAGATTTCCATGGGCAGCGGTATTCATTTAACATGTAGTAACTTTTCACATAAAAAAAACTCTATAGGTAAGGCTGTGAAGTTAAGAGAGTAATCAGTTTCTTCTTCTATAAATATATACATATAATACCTCTCGGGTCGAGGTGATCTATTGGGGGAGCGGCGGGGAGAGCGAAGTGGTGATCTGCGTGGCGAGCCTGGCGTGACAGGGGGCGAAGTCCGAGGAGAGACCCCGGTGGCCGACATAGGTGACGCCTCCGCCGAGCCGCGTGACATCCCGCATTCCGAAGAACCCTACGAAAATGTACCAACGGAAGTTTATTTAACGACACCATCAGGAAAGGTAACAGAGAACATTTAATGGTGGTAGGGCCACGCAGCAGCCTAGGCTGTTGCACGAACGGGCAGGCCCGTCCGGGTAAGTACCACGACCTCACAGAAGACCAGCGTAAACTGGAAGTATGAAAAATACTTTCGCGTTTCGTCTGGTGAGTGAGGTAACCGGAGCCCAATTTTCAAAAGGTTGTCAACGCATCTCTAACCCTCGGGTGTGGAAGATGTCCATGGGCGGCGGGATTCACTTAACATCAGGTGAACCGTCTGCTCCTTTGGCAACTTTTCACATAAAAAAAAAGAAAAAGGAAAAGAAGGAAGCATTAAAGGAGAAAGAAAAAGATAAATAGGGAGACATTAAAGAAGAAAAGAAAAGAACAACGATGGGAAAAAACAACTGTGATTAGAATTTACGTCGTTCAATCTTAACGAGGCAGACGAAAACTAATGTTTACATAGTCACCAATTTGATGGGTTCTGAGAACGCTTATACTCCACGTTCAAGTGTCAGACAGTGGTTCATGTCGACGTAAACTTATCGGTGCACAAACATGATCATTATAGGTCATAAGTCCCTAAAGCCTCCTAAAGCCTCCCGAAGCCATTCTAACATCAAGAGACAATTTAAATATTATTTTCTACAATGTTCTGGATAAGCTGTTCGAAGGAAATAAACATAGAGTTTTATAAAGAAAGTTTCATTAACTCTACATCTATATTTATTAATATAGAAAATTCATCTCAAAATTAAGAAAATGGTGGGAGACCGTTAAGAGTTCTATTAAAATAATAGAGAACACAACACACAAATTTTGCAGTGTGTGTATGATAGCTATGTTATTGGGATAAGCAATACCTTATCATCTGCTGGGTCCCTTTTCGTCATAACCTCTGCACCTTCTCTCTTACGCTGCTCTTCTTTCAAACGTTCCGCCTTCCGCCATTTTGCTCTTCGGTTTTGAAACCATACCTTGAAACAATAATGAATTACACTGTTTTTTTTATGTGAGAAAGTGGCAAACGAGCTGACGGTTCACCTGATGTTAAGTGATAATCGCCTGCCCATGGACATTTGCAACACCCATAGGGTTGTAAATGCGTTGCCACCTGTTACTAATGTGGGCCCCGGCTACGTCACTCCAGACGAAACGCGTACGTTGATCTTCTGTGAGGTCGTGGTACTAACTCGGGCGGTCCTGCCCATTCGTGCAATAGCGAACACTGTTGCGTGGCCCTACCACCGTACTACTACGGCCCTACACTGTACTAAACATTTTCATTAATACTGAATCCCTTTTAAAATTACAAAATTACCCTTTAAAGTTCTTTATAACATGGCATTTTAGAATTTTACTAAATAACTTAACCGGACTGTTTTTGGAAACTATTAAAAAGAAAGATATTATCAATAAACTTAAGACAGCAGAGTTTCTTCCCGGTACTTTGAACGGGTCTTAAATAGTAATCCCACAAAAAAGACTTTGAAACAAGTTTAAATTTAAGAAGGAATTTTCAGTAATGACAGATATGCCTATAAACTATTCTTTGGTACTTTGGATACATTAATAATACACTTTTTTACAGAATAGATAACATTATAAGTAATAACCAATAATCATAGTAATAAACCGCCTAATCCTTCATACCCCACCTGTCAACACTACAAATCCTTAATGCTGCATCATTACCACCCCATTTTGTTGCTTATTATAACTGAAAGATTTACACATCGTTTCTACAACAGGGGGATGAGTTCAGAACAAACGCCAATATACTTGACACTTGTCGTCCTTGAAAATATACGATTAGCTAGATCAATGTACATTGGAAATTCACTACGATCACCAATTATAAAGGACCTCCGTTAACCTATAAGGCATACACTGTGTTGGTTCCGACAACGTTGGACGTTTTAAGCTGGTTACCCGCGCCACGACAAGAGTCGGGCCACATTTGCAGTGCAATTTTCGCAATTTACTTTTAATAAGCTCACTGGCTGGTGGGAGTACTACGAAGTTTAGTTGTGATAGGGTAATCCGCGTAGACATGGAGATGGGTATAAAACTTGAAAATCATTTGAAACATACACAATATCTAATGGACGATATTTATTTATTAGATAACCTACATTAGATTCAGCATTTGCAGTCTAAATTAGATAAGATTCGTAGCAAATTTTTTGCTAAGAATCTCATCTAACTGTTCTCACAATTAGAGGTAATCACATCACGCTTTAACATTGATAATAAGGATAACAAAAAGTGCAAACGTATTAACTCCGAAGTAGAAACAATGCAATTAAAATTAATCGGTCCATTCTAATTCTTAAGTGTTTGAAATAATAATGCCTCGGAATCTGGATTGCTAATTCTTTTTTGATCGACGTCAGTAGCAATGAAATTGATGAGGTTGTGGCGGTGTACTGTGTAATATTATTATCAGAAATTCATCTGTTACTTCAAACATAACTAATATATGGTTATAATGCATAGTGCTTATTTCATACCATGTTATATATTAGTAACATTAATAACATTAAAAAAATATAAGTAACATTTTACAATTCAATATTGTAAGTCACAGTTTTTGTATCTTATTTTAGTTGAAGAGATCAATAAATAATTATCCCTTTGAAACTAAAAAAAATTTTGTAGACAAAGAAATTGATGGAGTTCTATTAATTGATTTTAAATAATCTGCTCACTGTATTATTTATAGTCTGTGATGCGTCAAACATCAAAATAGACCCTTAACGATTGTAAGCTAATTCGGTTAAAATAATAATCCGGCCATAATCCGACGTCCGCCCTAATAGTTTTTATCTCCTTCTAGGGTAGTATTAATATTTGAACGCGTTGAGAGACCGCCACCCCTGTTTCGCCCCTTTCAGACGTCTTCATGATCTTTATTGTTGCAAGGGGTGGAATTTAACGCGGCATGTATTTTTATTTCGGGAGCCCGCAAAAATCATCATTCAACAGCTCTTGAGACGATGATGGTGTCGAAAAAAGTCACTGTGCAAAAAGTGAGCTATAATTTATATAGAAAGACATATATAGAAACTGAATGAAATTTAGATTACAAAGTTTAGATTCATTCGTTTTTCGAAGGTTTTACCTGAATTTTTAGTGATTTTTCAAATACTAATAGATTCGTTGGACATCGTAGATAGTCGTTTTCGTAAATGCTACTGTTAGAATCATATATAAATAGTTAAAAATTATAGAAACGCTTTAATTTTATTTTTGCTATATCATAATGCAATAAACCGGTACTACACCGAAAAAATCATAAAATAAAAAAAGATTTTATCCTATCCATAAATTTTAGAGTAGAATAACTACTCTTCTTTTTACTGATCGTCATACCATTAATATTTTTCTCGCCCATCTTCCTCAATCAACATCTAATAAACATAACAAAGCAGTCCATCGAGAACTCCTTCCCCTTTACTATGACAAGGTTTCAACCACCCAAAACACATGTTGCAACATACGACCCTGTCAATTTCGCCGATATAACCTATCCCGTGTAGAGCCCTGCCGTCTCCCGCTCCCTCGGAACCGCACTACAATTCAGGGGCTATTTAATGAATAGCGCGGGGTCAGTGTAAATTGGTCGTGTTTACAAGGGGTGTTGCGAACAGTAGGGGTGCGGTAATTACCTACAGTTCGGTTAAATGCGGATTGTTTGCCTTCGTTACACAGTGAGTTGAGTGCGCTCGAGTTAAATAATAACAAATACATTGTTCGGTTCTGGTGCGAAGCAATGGCTCTTCAGCGGGCGGTCCCTTGATTGCTTCTTTTAAAAGGTGTACAGAACAAAAGATAAGCGAGCATGAGCTATTGTATCTTTTATTCCCGTTCACAATTCGAGTGGTGTGGAGTTTTGTAACAAATTTGATACTTTGTAATTGCAATGCGTGTAAGAGCTCATTTAAGCTTTAGTCGGCATTTAATATATTCGTGATCAGAATAGTTTAAAGTTTATTCGAAGTGTCTGTTGATTTACAGCTACATTTCAGTATGAGAGCGCGTTCAATTATTGGATCGATATAGCGAATACCAAGTATTGAATTGAATAAAAAAAAATTGTCATCAGGAACTCGAACTCGATAGAGCCAAATTAATCTTAGATTGATTTTTTTTTCCAATCTGAACATAACTCTAACTTGTATTATGTTGTATTATGTTGTATTATGTATACTTGTATATGTTGTATTATAATACTTGTATTATGTTGTAATGTCTCTATGTTACTTTATAACATAGAGACATTACTACATAATACGAAATTATTAAATATGGATTTTATAAAATAAATTATTTTGTAAACAAATTCTTTTTGTATATTCACTATAGTTACTGTACCAGTGTCATAAGAGTATATATGATACTAGACCACAGTGTAAGGGCTGGCATCATATACAAGTCATGATAAGGATTTTCCAATATTAATAATAATTATACTTCATTTGGCGAGGGTAAAAAGAATTGTGAGAGTAAAATTTTTACGATGCGCGCGCATTCCGACAGCCAAAAAGCGACATGTTCAAGCTGATCGACTAACTTCACGGTGTCACCATGGCAACTAATAACAACTTTTTGACATTTAAATAAAATTCCGAGTAATTTTATTGGTACTTTATCAATTACATTTAATGCCTTTTTCACAAACAAAGAGTACAGAGCACAGGGGGTAAAATTTTTATCACGCTCTTTTAAAATATTTATTACGCCTTTTGTCACGCTGAAGAAGTAGAACTTCTTAAATGAGTATATAGTACGCGTAATTTTTTATATGTTAGTGTTTCGATAATACATACATATGGAAAATACCTAGCCAAAAGCCTGTGAAGCCACTAGGGAAGGGTAGGATTACGAATAAACATTCGTTTAGGAAAACGCAATTATATCACCGAACCGTGAGCGAAAAACCCCACGTCGTCGCACTTAAAACTTATCGCCGCGAGACTAATTGCGTCAAGCGAGACGTAACGTTTTAAAACACTTCATATGCGAAGTTAGCGGAAGTTACCGTCGGAACCGCTGAAAGTATGCTAAGAAACGAGGAGCGAGCGTTCGGGGGAAGTTAAGTGACGTGACACGAGCCGGTACGTCGTGATGACTTGTTATGGCAAAGCTAATGTATCGTAATTGCCCGTTTGACGATTCCGAACTTGGCTGACGCGGCGTAGCTCGCGGATTATTTTGTTGTTAGCGAACGGCGACGTCACGACACTTTCGTCGGTACGTATTTTTAGGGTTCCGTACCCAAAGGGTAAAACGGGACCGTATTACTAAGACTTCGCTGTCTGTCTGTCCGTCTGTCACCAGGCTGTATCTCAAGAACCGTGACAGTTGGACAGTTGAAATTTTCACAAATAATGTATTCCTAATGCCGCTATAATAAAAAGAATAAAAGAATCCCATATAACAGACTTGATTTTTAGCCTTTTTATAGATAATTGTACAGAACCCTTCGTGCGCGAGTCTGGCTCGCACTTGGCCGGTTTTTTTAAGGGATGATGGGAAACGCGTAAGTGGTTCGCGTGAGGGGGCGAATTGCACGTTGTAAGCACAGCTATAACAGTAACGAAACGTTTCCTGAAATAATCCGGAGCTTCTGATAATTAATATATAATAATTCTGAAAAGACCAATAAAAAATTGTTAATAGTAATACCAAAATAGTTTTTACTCACCAAACCATCACCGAGTACGGTGACCCAATTGGCATGGTGGATAGTGACCTACTAAATGTAGGTCACTATCCACCTTTTATATTTATGGTATGTATTTAAGTTTGTGATGAATTAGTGGTTAAAGCGTCTCCGGCAGTGCGAATCCGGCAGAAGTGGGTTCTATTCACGTAGCAGCTTTTCGTCCTTTTTTTAGTCCTTTTTTTTTTCATTTTAAAAACTTTCATATTCCATCTAAATGCAGAAATAAAAATTACAAAAAAAAATTTA